TCCATTTTCTGTTTTTCTAGATTTACTTATGTCCATCTAGAGTCATGCTGCTATGACTAGGGTATGTTTCCTAAGAGTTTAAGTATTCAGAAACTTGTTCCATAAGGGGATGGTGTTAAGAGATGCAGAAGTCTTTGGGTCAGGCTTTCAAAAGGGACTAAAGTAGCTCTTATATGACTCTTCTGTGGTTCTCTACAGAGGATATTTATGACCGTGTCCTTGTGCTGCCGGGCTTGAAAAGGAGACCCTTCCTCCATAAATGCTCTTCCATCTACCATTTTCATGAGACAAGCACCTTGCTATTTGGACTCTCAACCTTCAAAACTATGAGTGAAATAAACCTTTTTCCTATAAGATGACGCCATTTCAGTTAGCTAACATTTGAGAAAATCCTGGGAGAGAGACAAAACAAAAACAAGCACATGGCAGCCATTATCCTTTTATTTTATGGCCCCACAGAAATCCTATTGTGCCATGGCCAGTATCGTCCGGAAGTGCGATAATTAAGTTTGAGAAGATTTAGTGACACCATTTGAGAGGATGGAGAAGTGCTCTGTGTATGAGTGACGTCTACAGAGAATGATGGAAGCTGTGAATTAGTGGTTTCGCTTTCCTCCAATAACAACTGACAGTCACATACCCACTGTTTAAGTACAGAGTTTCTCAAGAGAAGGACCATCTCACTTGGCTCAGTGTTTATGTTGGTAAGTTTTCTTTGGCGCATCAGACTGAATGCATCTTGAAGGTGCTTTCATTACAGCAGATCCTGCCTTCTTCCCACACAACGACCATCTCTGTCTTGCTCTGTGATGCTTATATGATTGAAGTGGCAATATGAGTAGTGGCGGACGCCTTCTCTGATGCTAGGCAATGCAGCTGGTCATATTAATTCTCTTCGCTGATCGTTAGTTCAGAAGTGGCTCTAATCTAGTTCGAGCCAAAGAAGCCTGAATGGAAGTGAGTTTAAGAAACTTCTGGAAAGTATTTTGCTCCTCAAAAGACAGCATGAACTAAAACTTTCCATCACCTTAAAGGTAGCTATTTAGGAAAAGGTGGCTGGAGTCATAACACTCTGACAATGTGAGAATAAAAAGGAGAGAAAGACCTTGAGTATCTGATGACATGGAGGACTGAGGTGGTATTTTGTTTATGATTTAACAAATAAAGCTTGTCTGAAGATCAGAGTAGAAAGCGAGCCACAGTAGTCAGCCATAGAGCCAGGTAGTGGTGGCACACACCTTTAATCCTAGCAGCTACACTAGCTAGGCATAGAAATTGAGCAGTGGTGGTGCACACCTTTAATCCCAGCACTAGAGAGGAATGTAAGGCAGGTAGAGACAGGACTTCAGCGTATGTAGTCTGCAGTCACACTGAGGACAGGACCGCCCCTTTTGTTCTGAGCCTTGGTAGAGGTAAGAACTCTCTAGAGTTTGACTGCTTTGCTTTTTTGATGCTCAACTTGAACCCCACTATCTGTCTCTGAATTTTTATTATTCGTGCTACAGATAACTTACTCCAACAATCCTAGAACCAACAAAGGACGGGTTTCCTGACCTGTGAGTAAATTAAGCATGAAGGTGCTCAAAGTTGTGTCAATAAGGGGGACTCAGTGCACCTCAATTGCTTGCTGATCTGGGCCTTTGTCTTTTCGACTACATTGTATCTACTGCGGCATCCTGTGTAGACTGTTGTGATTCACAATTAACCTCTATCTTAATGCTATCGTTGATGACCCTAAATGTGCTGTTTCTTGTTATTTTAATATTATTCTCTTAGTAGAACACATAGCTTTTAGTTGAATATTAAGAATATTATCCCATGGCATTGTATGTCTGCATGCCAGAAGAGGGCGCCAGATCTTGTTACAGATGGTCGTCAAGAGCTGCTGTCAAGAATTGAACTCGGGACCTCTGGAAGAACAACTAGAGCTCTTAACCATTGAGCCACCTCTCCAACCCACCCCGGAATGACACTGTAAACGTTTACATTTGTTATGTTCATTATGGAAAATAATCCATCCATTGAAAGCAATCAAGTCATGCAAAATGAATCAAGTTTGAAGTCAATGTAGTGGTATTTCCTCACAGTTCTTTGTCTTTGGGTATTAGTCAGTGTAAACCTGGTGTCACAAAAGAAAAATTAATGATCAAAAGTGGTGAGCTTGTTACCTGTTAATCTCTGTCTAATGATCTCTACCCCATAAAGAAATGCAACTCTCACAAGATGCCCCTATTTGAGATGGGCACTTCACAAACTAATTACTCTTGTTGGTTTTGATTAAATGCCAAGCTTCCAAAACATAAAATTTCTTCCTAAAATATCGTTGTAACTTCCTAATACTTTCTCAATACCATAGCTAAGCATCAGAAGAAAGATAAAATCAAACACTTTGACATTCCTTGTAGCTTGTCTAAAATGAGTGCAGTCCCAGTACATGAATGATTTACTTTCATTGCATTATTCTTGAACTAACAATGGCTCCAGGCAAGAGCATCATGGTCTATCACCTAAGGCTCACATAATGAAAACTGCATGCTGTTGGTAATTAAGGATTAGCCTGGTAGCATCTCACATCTGTCTGAAAAGCTGTTGATGGATGAACAATGGGTGTAAAAGACCCAGCATCTTGCTTAGCAGGGTTTGCAATGCTTGCAATTATAGGTCATTTTCCAGAGCAGTACTGGCAAACAAAAGCATCACTCATTCACCCATTGTCCCTTTTTTATGAGGATAGCTTTTCAGAAAGCTATAGCCACCAGTTAACTGACAATGGTACTTCCTACAATGCCACCTCCCTTTCAGTCACTTTCTATGGATCAGAGATAATAGTTATCATCACTTGAATGTATAGTCACCTGTTTAGAGCCTGTGTATCCACTGAAATACTATTCTAGATTTGCAAGCAAAATAATGTGATTGTGTGGGGTGCCTCTCCAATTAATTCACACCCTAACCATTTCCTAGGGTTATCATAATAAATTATCACAACTGGATGGCTGAAAATAGCACACTTCTGCAGGCTTCGAATCCTACACAGAGTATATGTAGAGATGTTTTCCCTTGGAAAACTACACGTCATGATTTTTCTCTCCCTCTTCCACCCTGGACAGTAATTTTCAGCTGTGGTGGTTCACACCTCTGTCACCACAGGACTGGGGTATTCTCTCCATGTCACTGTTCTCAAAACCTTTTCTTTTTCAAAGCACTTCACCCGTTCTGATTAGGGTCCATGCAAATGACTTCATCTGAGCTTGATCATACTACAGTCCAGCCACCCAGTTTTTTGTCTTATGGCTTCGTCTGAGGTCAACTGTGGTCCAAAACTAATAGTACTAGTACAGTAATAGTACTGTAGTATAAACAGGGATTGTATGAGTGTATGTATGTATGTATGATATATATATGTATATATATATATGTATATATATATATATATAGAGAGAGAGAGAGAGAGAGAGAGAGAGATCAAAGGACCAGCCATTCAGATAGCATTTATTGCAATCCTGATGGACCTTCCACACTTTGGGGACCACCTGGAAAGTTGCTGCATAGGGAAAATGACAAGAATAGAGGAAGTGGTATTTGGCCAGTGTCAGCCTGCTTTTAGTGACCTGCATTACTCTGGAGTTTGCGCAGCTTTTCTGGTCTGGCTCTGGCGTGAGTGTTTCTACGGTCCATCACTACTGCTCTTGGTTTGTCTGTCACTCACCCATCCCAATCCTTACTTCCAAGCTTTCCATATCGACAATTGCATGTTCTTCCTATTCTCAGAATCTAAGACTGGGACCTTATTGCTCACTCTCTTTTTTCTTCTTTCTCTACGCAGATGGTCACTGAAATGGTGGTCACATGCCACACTTGCTTCTCAGGGCTTATACTGCCCACAACGTAAGATAGATAAGAAACTGGTTCTTGTTTTGTTTGTCTATACTTTGGGAAGAATGTCGCTCCTTGCTTAATGAATCATAAAATTTGATAAGAGTGTATCAGACATGTTTATTTGTGGGGTTGGAGGCAGTAAAAGATCATAACTGGCTTTCAATATCAGCACAAAATGACTTGCCTACAGGGAAATATAAAGCTTGGTACTCTTATTGTGTTACAGTTTGAGAAATACCCTGACAGCTCCATGTGCTGAAGGCTTGGTCCTCAGTTCAGAGTGCTACTTTGGCAGCTGCTTGAAATTTAGGAGGTGGAGCCTACCTAAATTTAGTGGGATAAAGTGGGTTTCTGGTAGCGTGCCCTTAGGAGTTCTATCTTGCTAAGACTCCTTTGAATTTCTGTTTCTTGCTACCAAGAGGCAGTGTCATTCTGCCCAATGCTTCTACAGATATCACATCTGAGGCCAAAGTGATGAGACTAGAGCAGCCATAACCTGACACCTCTGACACTGTGAACCAAGATAGTGTCCCCTCCTTTAAAGTGCTTTTGAAAAATTGACACAGTAACAACCAGCAAAGAAGCAAAGCAGACTGCTGGGCATAAAAAACATGACTCAGAATCCCATTTGTTATCTTGCTAAAGAGTAAAGCATATACAGGTCAAAGCTGAACATTCATATCAATGAATAAACACTGCCCAGGCCTTTTCAAAACATTTACTCAAACACAGACCTCACCCTGCTGCAGGTGCTCACGGGCATGCTCTACCTTTCTTGTGTATATTCTATCAAATGAAGTGAAATGCCATTGTTCTACATAAGCTCTCTTGATGTCTTCAGAGATGAACAGGAAGTAATCTTGGGGGTAAGGGAGTGGACCCTGGTTCAAGCACATTCCTTAATTCACCTTCTTGCTCACCCTCCCTACACTAAAGAACCGATTATAAGCATAGCACATTTGGCCTTGTCAGACTGAATGAGTTCCGAACATTTTGGAATTAATGCTTGTGCTTGCAGGGATTATGCTCACTGTCCTAGCTCCTGGGCAGTCTGAAGCTGTAAGGATGATGGAGAAATTTGAAACTGTTCCTTTAAGGCAGAAGCAAGGAGGGGAGCTGGTGTTTCTATTGTGGATAACGCAGCCCAGGCTACAGTCTGGAGTCCAATTAGCAGAGAGCTTAACAGGGGTTTTGTTTAGCTTAGCAACCGCCTGTGCTGCCCCAGGGGCCAACGAGGGAGGCAATCTCCAGTGAGCTCAGGCAATAATCTGTGCAACAAACACTAGTCCTCTTCTTCATCTCCATGACCCTGGTCCCTTTGGAGGTCTCACTGCACTGTGGGACAGGAGGGATTGTTCCTTGCAAAGGGTGGCCTCTGTACCTTGGTCACAACTTCGGCAACCTGTGGATCCATTGAGGAGGGTCTGTCAGACCTGTGAGGAGCTAAGCAGCGTCCAGTGGTGGAGAAAGAAGCCTCAAGGTCTCTGTGTGCTAGGACCCCAGGATCCAGCTCATCTCCAGGGCCCCCTGGTCCAGATCGCTGCAGGTGGTGGTGGATGGAGCCCTGCAGCCCAGTTCCTGGCGTCCGTGACCTCCCGGTGGTGGCAGCAAGGATATCCTCTCCAGGACCAAGGCATGAAGGTCGCTGTGTTGGACCTGGGATCTCTCTTTGCCAAGATCTTCAAGACCTCGGCTTCCCCTGCGGTCCCCAGTCACCCTGGAGGTTCTATGGCCACAGGATCAGTGTCCTCCACGTCGCTTAGCAGGGCAGAGACCCCGACTTTGCTCCCATTGCTGCCTCCAGACACTACAACCTCTCGGGAGCCCTCCACTCCTTTGTACCCTGCCTCGCACCCCAGAAGCTCTGCAGCCCTCCGCAGGGTGGAAACAGCAGGGTGTCCGGGGTCTCTGCCCAACAGCCCTGGAGCATCCAGAGCACAGCCCCTAGTCTCCAGCAGCAGCTCTGTGGGACCGAGCTCCTTGGCATCAGTGCCTTTGCCCACCCCCAGCACTGTCTGGGCGACCCTGCCCTCTGTCACTGGCCCTGTGGGCAGCAATAGCAGTGCAACCTCTAATCCAAGGAACACTCACCAGTCGCCAGGTCCTGGAGAGCAAGGGCCCAGTGCTTGGATGGCCTCAGGACCTGTCCCCAAAACACTATTCTTCACTCTGCCCGACATCGGGGAGGAGTGGGCCTCTGACAGCGACTCCCAGGATGACCCAGAAGGGTGAGTTTCAGTATGTCAATTTTGATCCCCATCCTCTGTCTCCCAGGTTCATTTCCGTCCACTCTCAGGCTTTCTGGACTTTTACAGCACAGGCTATGAGAAACTTTTCCATAACATTCTTAGAGTAAACTTCTGTTAACCTGGGGAGAAAAGGGGAGGGACAGGACTGCATGCTAAATCTCTGCTACCCTAAGCATTAAAATCTAGATGCTGAGCCGGGTTTTCACAGGGCTTTCTTCCAGCACCCATCTTTGTGACAGAATACACTAGATATGCACGTGACCCATCCTACAAAATGGCAGCAATAGTTTGATTTTAAGAAATGGCTTAATGTCCAAAGGATTAGCCAAAGTCTTTCTGATCCCAAGAGGAATGGCTTTCTTTTCAGTGACATATAGTTAATTTACATATGCATCGCATCATCAGTTACAAAGGAGATCTGTGATGCTTAGGATTATGTCTCCCAGAGGTCTTGAGTTCCCTCTTGGGGCCCTGGTTACTACAGAAATGTGGGATGACTTCACCTGAATGGGGATTGGAGGCGACTTTCATCAGTGAACTCTCTCTCTCTCTCTCTCTCCTCTTCTCTCCTCCTCTCTGCTCCTCTCTCCTCTCTCTCTCTCCCTCTCCCCTCTCTTTCTCTCCTCCTCTTTCTCCCTGTTTCCCCCACACACTTTTGAAATCAAAAGTGCAATAAACACATCATTCTTACAAAAAAATCCTAGACACTATAATGACAGTGAGTTCTATTTTTTAGTGAGAAGAGCATATTTACTGTTTTTAACTGCATACAATATTCTTTGTCTTTTTGAATTATTATAGAAGAAAGATAAAATGGTCAAAGGCAGATCCTGGCAGCCCAGTTTCAGACCATTTCTGCATGAAGAGTTGGGTGGCAAAGTTCAGCCATTTGTATCATCACCCAACAAAATCCCTACTGAGGAGGCTTGCTTGAAGACTGATTCTAATTCATTCCCCGTGTAAATAGATACAGTTTCACAAAAATGCCTGATATCCTTATCAGTGCTCGCTCAAGCTGGTAATTGTGTAATAGTAAGCTAAATCAAACCATTCATTTGAAATATTATGTTACAAAATTCGCTTGTCAACCAGTTACCTCCTTATCCCCCAAAAGGGAAAATCAATTGCTCTTGGAAAGCTGCTCCAATTACCTAAGGAATTAAGCCTTTGTTATTAGCAACTGGTCCTTAACAGTTATACAATTAATGTTTTATGAGCAAACAGATCTATGCAGTGACCTTAAACTCTAGGCTCCGAGCTTTTAGCAAATAGACATTGAAACAGGTAGAATAGCCAGGAAAGAAATGCCATTAACCTTGATTCGTGCACACATCAGTGCGTGTTTGTATTTTCCAAAACCTTTACCATAATTATTTTTTAAATTATTGTGCAGAAGTCAGTCTGCATTAGCAAATTCATTCAATTTTACTGATAGAAACAAAGTTCAGTTTTAGTTGCTTCCAGGAATAAAATGCTTTGGAGGTGTGTATTTTCAAAAGTCTTCCTAATGATGACCTTTAGAGCTGAAGCCAAAGGTATCGACAGAGGCAGACAAGCCTAAGCGTATAATTTACTCCGTAGGTATAAAATTGCTTCTTTCTTTTCATCACATACAGTTCTTTTCTCAATAAAAGGTAGAAACAAAGAGGAACAGGGTGATATGTATTTTTCCTTTAAGCTAGTTGTAAAATGGAATAAGTACACACAATCAGAAAATGAATTTAGATTATCTCCTTGCCAGCTCACCTGTCAGTAGATAGTTACTGCTGTTGGCCTGCTTTTAATATTAAAAGTTAAAGCTTAATTTTCAAAAGTCAATGAACATAGGAAGAGAGACATGATTAATGTGGAAATATGAGGGGCAAAGTGTGACTAGAGAGAATTGTGAAAACATATAAACCAAATGGGAACACATCCCTGAGGAACACAAATCCAATTTTAAAACCATAGCACTCAGTTATAGAAGAGAATCTGAAATAACAGTTTAGATAGGTAAGGAGAGAGAATCACACAGAGAAACAAAGTGAAAAAGTCAGAGAGCAGAGTGACAAAGAAGATAGGTAGGTATGATAGATGAATAATGGCCAATCCGTAGATAGGCAGGTAGATGGATAGATAGATAGATAGATAGATAGATAGATAGATAGATAGATAGATAATCACAGATAAGTAGGTAAATAGATGGGGCTACATTTAAGCCAAGGTGGAGGGCAATGAGCCTTCTTTGTCTTGTTTTTTCATATCCCTGGATACAGACTGCAAAACTTTTGATGCTTTCCTTCACCTCCCTACACATTTCCCTCTACACTGCATCCCATTTGCCCATTTTCCACTATCCCTTCCCTGCCTCAGTTTGCACTTCTGGTTCCCTGTAAGGGCCTTATTGATTTCTTCTGTAAATGAAAGAACTTCTGGTAATTGATATAATAGGTATATTAGTATTTAACACCAAGAAGGAACTGTATCTCCTATCCTTAGATTAACCTCTGAATTTTTAGGGAAAATATAGAATGCTAGTAATTACCTACCTTTTATACAGAAATTGCCCATTCTCACCCCCACAATACTGTGGCTCAGTTGTATTTTATGTTCTTTATTAGATGGTACCAAGATACTTATAGCAACTCATGCCTATGAAGGCATTTAGCAAAACACATTAAATGAGTGAATAAAAATATTTTCTTCCTCATATGGTCCACTTTCATCAATTCTTAATGCCCCACAAAGAAGCAATTTAATTTTCCTTCTGTAGCAGCGATTGTTCTTTGGCCTTTTTGTTTTGTCACCTTGGTATTTTCTCAGAGTAATGGTTTCTCCTGAAACTTCTTGTTCCTGCAGAGATGACTCATGAGCTCAATCTACAAGTGTTGAGTAGCTATTACATTCTGTTAGAGCCATATGACCATAACTTTCATTAAAACCTTTTATTGAAAGTTGTAATACTAGGCTAGAGAAGTAGTAAAGTGCTCGACACACAATTTCAAGGACTCCATCCCCATAAAATAAGTAATGCACATAAAGTTAGGGGTGGTGGCATGTCCTTGTAATCTCAACACTGTGGAGGTGGACACAGGCCAATAACTGGGCCTTGCTGATCAGCCAGCCTAGCTGTATTAATGAGAGACCCTGTATCCATAAACAAGACGGACAGAGTCCTTTGATTTCTAAATGTGTGTGTGTGCGTGCGCGCAAGCATGTGCACACACACACATACACATACATTTGTGCACATAAATACATGAATACACATTTGCATATATACTTTCATGCACACATACATGCATGCATACACATATGTACTTTCATGCACACATGCATGCATGCACATACATACATGTATGCACATAAATAGACAAACACAAACTTGCATGATTTTCAACATATAGTTTTTTAAAAATATAAAACAGTTTTCTTCTTACTGTTTAAACAGTAGCTGACTTTAACTTTAAATTGTTTTCCTTGTTATTTTATGTTAAAGCTTAAAACTGTGAGTTAGTGCTCAGTCTGCTATATCTTGAAAGAGCAAGTTTAGGTGTTTTTCTATGTTAACAGTTTGCATACACAGCACGTATATGTAACAACAACCACATGATATGGGCCCTTTCAATTTGCATAGTAGCAACATTTCACTTATATTAGTATAAGTTTTAGTGCACATATTAAAGTCAGACTGAAATTGATCCAAATCAAATTCTATAGTGTATTTTTTATGGTGCCCCAACAATGCTAACAACTATTCGCCCCACTCAACTAACTTTCTCTTCCATTAAACTAGAAATGATAACCTCCAGTCAAAGATATTGTAGGGGTTAAAGATAGGCAACATACAATATAAAAGTCCCTAGTCCAGTGTCAGCCTTCATAGGTGAAGGCCTCCCTGTGCCTATGGATTCTGGGCCCTTCCAGCAAGCCCATGAATATTGCTGGCACTTCTGGAAATTATTCTCATTTTCCCACCTCTTGCTTATCCCAATCTCTGGCCTCTGTTGGTTGTCTCAGACCTGTCTTGAACCCATGGCATAGACCCACTCCATAAATATTATTCTAGAATGTTCAGTATTCTGAATATAGTATTTATCACACACAGCATCTTTGTACAGAGTAGGGGTGACTTGTTTTTGCTACAATCTTCCGTGAAAGTTAATGTGTTATTTTCCAAACATGAACTGTCAACATAAATATTACAAATACCTGTTCTATATTAGATCTACAGAGAGTTAGACCTGAATTGTCAGAGTACAAAAAAGAATAATGATTCAGAATGAATCAAATGATTCAAATGAATCTCCAAGAGCACAGAGACAAGGAAAGAGGGCAAGGGAGGTGTCGGGGATCTGAATTCTTTTTAAAAAATTGCAATTGGGTCATATATTTACTCAAGATTTGGGAGAATATTTTAGCAGACTAAAGCTCTGAGACAAAGCATAGAGGTACAAAATAACATGCCATGGGAGGAGATGACTTTACTAGGAGCCAGTTTTTGTAAGGAATTTAGAGGGAAACCAAGGAGACCCTTGGCTACCAGCTTGTGATTAATTAACATGGGAAGAGTGGCACCTGCAAGACCCATGGTGTCTAGAGATATAGGAGGGGAGAGCTTTTTGGAAGATCACAAAGGGGATCAGAGAGATAGCTCAGTGGGTAAGCTCACTCATCACCCAAGCCTGAGGAGCTGAGTTCCCATCCTAGGACCCATGTAGAAAAGCCAGGACCAGGGCAGAGACAGAAGGATGGCAGGGACTTGCTGGCTGCCAGCTTGAGACAGTGAGAGGCTCTGTCTCAAGGGAATAAGACAGAATGATAGGACATCAGTCACACATTTGTGCATGTCATACCCTATAACGATACTCGATGCTATATAGGGAAAACAATATATTTATTTATCAGAGAAACAGAGAGAGTCGCACAGACTAGGAGTTAGAAGCGTGGCTGGCTTCCAGGAGAAAAAGGGAAGCCCCTTTTCCTTTCACTTCCTTTTA